GGGACACGGGGCCATTGGGGGGGCTGGGGACATCCATGGTGGGGTTGGGGACATCGGGGACATTCCTGGGGAGTTGGGGACATTGGGGGGACTTCGGGACATCCAGGGGGACACTGGGGCTTGGGGACATCAGGGGGACATCTTGGGGGACTTGGCGACATCCCCGAGGGGTTGGGGACATCCCTGGGGACATCCCGGGGGGTTGGGGACACTGGGGAGGGGTTGGGGACACCCCCAAGGGGACAGGGAGGGGACACCGGGGACACCGACCTGGCTCGCAGGTGGCTCAGGTGGCTCCGGGCCAGGCTCAGGCACTGCTCGATCTGGGCCTGGGGACATCGGGGACGTTGGGGACATTGGGGACAGCCGGAGGTGTCACCACCCCCCCGGGTGTCCCTGGGTGTCCCCGGGTGTCCCCAGGTGTCCCCAGGTGTCCCCAGGTGTCCCCGTACCTGGTGGCGCCGCTGCAGCACGGGGAAGGTGAAGGCGGCGACGACACCTGGGGGGGAGTGGCACTTCTGTCACCGAGTGTCACCTCGGTGTCACCTCAGGGTCACCTTAGGGTCACCTCAGGGTCACCTCAGGTCACCGAGTGTCCCCTCATGCTCTGCCCCGCCCCCTGTCCCCAGGCTGTCCCTCCCAAGGTGTCCCCGTGTCCCCACATCCCCTGGTGTCCCCTCAGTGTCCCCAGTGTCCCCAATGTCCCCATGTCCCCCCAATGTCCCCAATGTCCCCATGTCCTCCCAATGTCCCAGTGTCCCCTGGTACCCGCTGCCAGCAGCGTCACTCCGTTGCACGCGGCCCCGTGTCCCCATGTCCCCAATGTCCCCAATGTCCCCAATGTCCCCCCAATGTCCCCAATGTCCCCATGTCCCCCTGGTGTCCCCAGTGTCCCCAGTGTCCCCAATGTCCCCAATGTCCCCTGGTACCCGCTGCCAGCAGCGTCACTCCGTTGCACGCGGCCCCCACGTAGGTCAGCAGGTAGAACAGGAAGGCAAACTGCGGGGCCAGCGCCGTGTCACTGTCACTGTCACTGCCACTGCCACTGTCACCGGCACCGGCACCGCCACAGCCCCGTGCCACCCTCAGACCCCTGTGCCACCCATGTCCCCATGTCCCCTGTGTCCCCTGTGCCACCCAGAGCCCCTGTCCCCTGTGTCCCCTGTGCCCCCTGTGCCACCCAGAGCCCCGTGCCACCCACAGGCCCTGTCCCCTGTGTCCCCTGTGCCACCCACAGCCCTCCACACTCAGGGGCTCCTCCCTCCTGGGGACATGGGGACAGCCATGGGGACAGCCATGGGGGCATGGGGACAGCCATGGGGACAGGGACAGGGCAGGGCGTGCCGGGCCAGGCACCGCGCCCAGCGCTGCTGCTGCTCCGCGCTCAGGGGCTCCTCCCTCCTGGGGACATGGGGACAGCCATGGGGACAGCCATGGGGACAGGGACAGGGACATGGGGACAGCCATGGGGACAGGGACAGGGCAGGGCGTGCCGGGCCAGGCACCGCGCCCAGCGCTGCTGCTGCTCCACACTCAGGGGCTCCTCCCTCCTGGGGACATGGGGACAGCCATGGGGACAGCCATGGGGACAGCCATGGGGACATGGGGACAGCCATGGGGACAGGGACAGGGACATGGGGACAGGGACAGGGACATGGGGACATGGGGACAGGGACAGGGACAGGGCAGGGCGTGCCGGGCCAGGCACCGCGCCCAGCGCTGCTGCTGCTCTGCGCTGAGGGGCTCTGCCCTCCTGGGGACAGGGACAGGGACATGGGGACAGCCATGGGGATAGGGACAGGGACATGGGGACAGGGACATGGGGACAGCCATGGGGACAGCCATGGGGACATGGGGACATGGGGACAGCCATGGGGACATGGGGACAGCCATGGGGACAGCCATGGGGGCATGGGGAGGGACATGGGGACAGCCATGGGGACAGCCATGGGGACATGGGGACATGGGGACAGCCATGGGGACATGGGGACAGACATGGGGACATGGGGCTGTCACCGGCCGGGGGGGTCCCCAGGGGGGTGGCAGGGAGGGGACACGGGGCTGTCCCCAGTGTCCCTCACTGTCCCCATTGTCACTCACCTGGCGGGGCTGTCCCCGGCCGGGGGGGTCCCCAGGGAGGTGACAGGGGGGTGGCAGGGGGGTGGCAGGGAATGTCGCCGGTGTCACTCACCTGGCAGGGCTGTCCCCAATGTCCCCATTGTCACTCACCTGGCGGGGCTGCCCCCGGCCGGGGGGGTCCCCAGGGAGGTGACAGGGGGGTGGCAGGGGGGTGGCAGGGAATGTCCCCGGTGTCACTCACCTGGCAGGGCTGTCCCCAATGTCCCCATTGTCACTCACCTGGCGGGGCTGTCCCCAGTGTCCTCAGTGTCACTCACCTGGAGGGGCTGTCCCCAATGTCCTCGGCGTCCCTCACTGTCCCCATTGTCCCCAATGTCCCCATTGTCACTCACCTGGCGGGGCTGTCCCCAGTGTCC